CAGGGTTGGCCTCCTCCGGGTGCCATCTACCAGCCAGTGTCGACTGGCGACCACCCGGAGGAGAGCCTTCTCTGTGGCTGCTCCGACCCTCTGGAACGAACTCCCCGTGGAGATTCGAACCCTCACCACCCTCCAGGCCTTCCGCAAAGCCCTTAAAACCTGGCTGTTCCGACAGGCCTGGGGCTAAAGAGCTGTTGCCCCCACATCTCGAATGGTATGACTGTTGTGTGTTTTAAATTATGCATTGTTATGTGTCGTTTTTTAATTTTTTGTCTGTATCCCCCTTCCCTGGTTTGAGTTGTGAGCCGCCCTGAGTCCCCTTCGGGGGGAAAAGGGCGACATATAAATATAATAAACAAACAAACAAACAGATAATTAGAACTGCAGAAAAAAAACAATTGCTACTAATCTGCCTTCCATTGAGGACCTGTATACTGCACGAGTCAAAAAGAGGGCTGGGAAAATATCTACAGACCCCTCACATCCTGGACACATTTTTTTTTTCAACTCCTACCCTCTGGACATTCAATCCTCAGGATGATAAAGATAATTGAGCAGTTAATTACTCTTTCAGAATTCCTAAATAGCCACAAGTGCCCAGCCAACGCTGGATTTTCTGCACACTGTGGTTGGCTTCATATGTACATCGGACTAAGTTGCTAACGATGGAATATGATTGATAATGGCTAGATTCGCTCACTTGATTTGAGAATAGCTTTGTTCCAGGTCTCTTCGATATAAAACACCCAAATTCTGATCACGTGAGCAAGGAGAATGCAATGAGAGTCAATAAGTGTAAGGGCCTGTTGTTAAATCAGTTTTCACTGCTGTTGCAATGTGGAAGAGCTGCTAAATGAACGTTGCAAATGGAGGACTACCTCTGCTCCAGAAATGAGTTTTTCAAAAAAAAAGAAGCAAGAGGCACAGCCTGGATCTATTTATTTGAACTTTGATCCGATGGGAACAATACTTTGATCGGCTCAGGAGCTTTCTACGCTCCCTTGCTGAGAGAAAATCAAACAGAGACTCCAAAGGTTTGAGTCACGCAGAGAGGAAGTTGGCATAGATTATCCTTCCCGATCTTAGCGTTGGTTGTGGGAACTTCTGCTGATTTTCTGCATCCCAAGAAATAACAAATACCCCCCCACCCCATTGTTTCAAAATGTTAAAACACAGTGGCCAAGTTCCAAATACTCCCACAAAGCATGCTAAATCACAATGGACAATCCTTCTTCATATCCAGGTTTTACGAAAGTGCCCAAGTTGTATACAGATTAGATCAGCTGCGCTTTTGAGCATCAGCGTGCAAGAATGAGCAGTTCTTAATGAGCCTTAATCCTCTCCTTTCCAGGAAAACCTATTTCTGCACAGAACAGGGGTCACCACCTGCAGCTCTGGAGCCGCATGTGGCTCTTTCATCCCCCTGCTGCAGCTCCCTGTCCCTCAAAATATGTGTCCCAATTGCCAATATGATACCCGCCGCCGCACGATTTGAGGTTTTCGACCCATCTTTTTTTCCGTTCAAAATGTTTTTGTTGCATGCAGAAATTTTTAAAAAAATGTTTTCTCTGTAGCAGTTCATTGATTTCATTAATGCAACATGCTATAGTTATTTTATACATTGCATAAAGGTAAATAATAATAATATATGTAGCACACTATCTTCATTTTAGAGGTCAAAAAAGGGTTTTGGGGCTCCCGGTGTTTTCTTCTCTGTGGGAGACAGGTCCAAATGGCTCTTTGAATGTTTAAGGTTGCCGAACCCTGGCATAGAAAGTTGGCAGATCAAGGTATTTGCCTAAAGGCAGAGAGATCGAACTTGGTTACGGCTTCTGGTCAGCTGACAAGCACCTACAGCATGGACTTTTTTCTGAAGAGTTTGAAGAATGGAGCAGTCAATAAGCCATAATTTTCACATGTTCAGGCCCCTCATCTGATTTGCCATCTGCTTGCAGGGTGTGTGTGAACAGAAAGCAGATTTGCTAGTATCTTGTTCACCTAAAACATATGGAGAATGGTTGTTGGAATTGAGTATGTCTAGTGGAATGAAAAGAAGGACCAGGGGAGACATGTAGCAGTCTTCCAACATCTCAGGGGCTGCCACAAAGAAGAGGGAGTCAAACTATTCCCCAAAGCACCTGAGGGCAGGACAATGGGTAAAAGCAATGGGTGGAAACTAATCAAGGAGAGAAGCAACTTAGAACCAAGGAGAAATTTCCTGACAGAACAATTAATCGGTGGAACAACTTGTCTCCAGTTGTGAATGCTCCAACACTGGAGGTTTTCAAGATGATGTTGGATAACCATTGGTCTGAAGTAGTGTAGTTTCCTGCCTAAGCAGGGGGTTGGACTAGAAGACCTCCAAGGTCCCTTCTAACTCTGTTTATTCTATTCTATTCTACTCCATTTCATTCACTTATTAAATTTATATGCCGCCCGTCTCATTGTCAAGCAACTCCCCCTAGCTCTCTATCACTTGGACCCTTTTAGGAAAGCATTTGCATAAAAAAAGTGAATCAAATCAGGTATTCCCCCCACCCCACCCCGGCAGCTTAAATTTAGCACTGAATTCATAAACCCAGGCTTGTAACCCCGTATTTTTATTAGTCTTTCTTTATTGGGATTTTCCAATTGTGCAATTTCCCTCCCTTTCACAGGCCATGCTTGCCATTTGGGTTTCCCCCTCCTCATTACTGCTTCTCCCCCCCCACCCCCAAAAAGAAGAAAATCAGTATCCTCCCCGCCAAAAGGAAAAGTTTAGAAAAAGTTGAAGCAGAATTCCTCTTGCGACGGCCTGAATTTAAAAGAGGAAGGGTCTGTCGATCTGAGAGAAGCTGGGGGCTGACAGCGAGAAGGTTCTGGAAGGTCCTGGAAGGTCCTGGCTCCTTCTGCAGACTTTCTGAAGACTTGGCTTCTCTTCTTCTGAGTCTCTTCGTTCACTTCTGTGATGTGAGCTGCTTTTGAAGCTGAGAGGGGTGGAAGGATAGAGATGAAAGATCAACGCAAACACTTGGAAAGGCTGATATTTGCTACGCTCTGTCTACGCTCTAGTATTTGCCCTGAATTGTCTTCCTAGCTCAACTGGTTGGACTGTTCTGACCGAAGCTTCCCAAGAGCATGAAGCAAACTCCTTGTCCCGAAAAAACCCCTTTTATTAATTTACTGTATATTCTGCTCATTCACATCCAGCAAAGTCTTTCGAGGGAGGATTTACAGTCACAAGACCTTCTCTGGCTTGGAGAGCGGACAGGCCAATATCTGCAAAACTTGGCAAGGAGTCTCGGAGAGTCACAAACCAATTAAGCGAACTAATTGTCTCCTGCAAACTCCACTTCCCTTTCGCTCCTCTTTTATTTCCTCTGGGAGGGGCCATTCATCATCCACCTGTGGCCTTGCTCCCAAGTCGACCGCTGTTCTTTAGCTCTTCCCTTCATCTGGCAACTCTGCTCATGCGCAAACTGGGAACAGGCTCCAGCTGTTCTTCTGCCCCACTGATGTCTGACTCTGAAGGCAGCTGATAACTGGCATACGGCCCTGACCCCTCTCTGCCTCCGACATAGAGCCCTCATCAGAGCCTTCCCCAGACTCCAGGACTGGCTCATCTTCCTCACCAACCTCCTCACTGTCTGAATCTGCTGCCAGCTCTGCTGGCGGGCCCCTACATGGAATCTGTAAACTGGAAAACTGGGATTAAAAAGAAATCTAATAAATAAACAAAGAGCCCCCTTCTCCTTACCTGTTTGCAAGAGCTTCAGCTGCTTCTGCCTTTCCTCTGCCATTTTTGCTCTGTAGTCGCCAAACATCAGGCGCATCACTTGACGTTTCTTCGCCAACACTGCTTTTTTGCTGCGCAACGTCTTGATAGCACGGAGAGCTTCCTCCGCTGGAAAGAATAGAATAGAATACAGAATAACAGAGTTGGAAGGGACCTTGCAGGTCAGCTAGTCCAATCCCCCCACCCCCTCGCCCAAGCAGAAGATCCTACACCATTTCTGACAGATGGCGGTCCTTTCTCTTCTTGAAAGCTTACAGTTGTCGGGTTTCTGAAAGCTGTCCTAATTAATTCATGAGCCTCAAGCCAAGTTTCGAAAGAAATCCAGTCATTTGTTAGGAACACCATTTCGGCAATACCCCATTGCAGTCAGATCTGACCTCATTTAAATGATGGCTGAACTTTGCCCCCGTTTCTTCCCTCCCTTCGGTTTGTGTCATAAATCACATTCTCCAACGAGGTGCACGCCTCACAAGCCTGCTGTAATACTCTCGCCGAAGGTATGCATGGAATGCGCTCCCCCCCTTCCTCACCATGGCAACTTGATAACAGACATGCAAATGCTTTATGAGTTGACACCGGTGATGAAGCACCCACAACTTCCGAAGGCAAATTCTGTACCATTGGTTGATTGTTTTCACTGTCAGGAAATTTCTCCTCATTTCCAGGTTGAATCTCTTCCTTGGTCAGTTTCCATCCATTATTCCTTGTCTGGCCTTCGGGTGCTTTGGAGAATAGCTTGACCCCCTCTCTGTGGCAGCTCCTCAAATATTGGAAAACTACTACCAAGTTCACCCAGCTAAAACTGCTTTACCCTTCACCCCAAAGGATCCTTGGTCCTTCCTCAAAAGGGACTCAAGGGTTGAAAGACGTTATTAACTTTTTACTCTCATTTCAAATATATTTTAGACTGTTTTTGTTAAGACATACCTTGTATTAGTTCTGGGAAGTCGGGAGGGGGGAAGGTTGGGGGGGGATCTGGGTGGGAGGGTGGGAAGTAAATATTTGTAACTAAATTAGGCTTGGGGGGGGTGTTGGGTTTTAAAGCACTATGATCATACATGTATACTGTTTTGTTTTATTTTTTAAACAAAGAAGGAGCAAGATATGTTATGTATATTGAAATGGAGTTATAAATGCCATCAGCACAAAACGGAGCTTGCTCAGAAGCTGAAATACACCAAGTGAATGAGAGGAAGAGTGAGAAGCAGAGGAGAAAGAAAGATAGGAAGAGAGGGACAGGAGAGAGGGCAGGGTGGGAAGATGAGAATAAGGAGGAGTGGAAAGGGGAGAGAGGAGAAGGAGAAAGGAAGGGGAAGTAGAGTAGAAAAGGATGATGGAGGGAAGAAAGGAGGTAGGATAAGGGGGAGGAGAGAGGGAGAAGAAAGTGTTGGATAAGGCACAAATATGGTGTATGGAGAGCAGAAGAGCCAATTTTTTTTTCCCGGGAGCTGATGGTAAGATGAATTGATGTAAATATTCAACAACGCAACATGATATTGGCTATGTAATAGTATACATGTGAATATGTTATGGAAATGGGAAATAAAAAGTTTCCATATGAAAAAAAAAAAAAGGGACTCGAGGGTTAAGGACATGGATGATCTCAGTAGGACCTGCAGCAAAAATAAGCCTTCAGATGTCCTATAGTGACTGTCAGTTCATTCAAC